ACAAAATCGTAGTTTGCCCGCACCTGTGTTATGGTTTTAATTAAGATTTTTAATAACGATACTTAGTAAGTTATTTGAAATTTAGTGTCACAAATTTTGGAAAAAGTTTAATAAAATTGGTTCTGTATTGGTATAAAAAGTATATGTTTCTCTTGAATTAAAATGAAACAACAAGCTTAAAAAATGAAATTGACGAATTTAATGTTTGGCTGTGAAAGTGAAGTTATAACGCAATTTAAAAGCATTTGTTGTGTGGCGCACTTTCTGCAGGTGGGGGGTGTTATCTGCCCGCGGCACCTCGTCTGCCATTAGGGGGCGGTGTTTACTGCCTACGGCACTATTTCTGTTATTAGCGATTGTTATGTATGCATGTTTTACGGTAACTAATGATTACGTTGGTTTTCGTATGGTAATGAAATATTTAATCTTTAACTCTTGAGACATCTGTGGAGGAATTATGCTCACTATGGTGATAATAAGACATAAAAATTTTGTAAAAAGATTGAAATGTTTTATTATATCTTTTTTTCCAAAAATAAATATTTATATTCGTTAAAATGAAATAAATATATATTATTTTTTCTTAGTCACATTTCATTTACACCAAAGTTTCATGTGTCACACGCGCCAGTTCAAGTTATCATCGTGTTCCGTCTCTATAATTGTACATGTTCTTTTTTTTCAAAGGAGTCATTTAAAAAAAAAGTATTTGATGTCGGGCTTTTTTTCCTGCCATTTTTTTTCAAATTTTTCCAATGAGCTTAGCATGATTCAATTTTTTCAAAGTCATTTTCACTGGCCTGGAGAGAAAATTTTTATAAAAATTTGAAATAATTGTGAAATTTGAAAAAATTGTGGCATTGTTGTAATCAGCACATTTGAATTTGATGATTTATTTTTATTAAATAAAAAAAAATTAACCACACATCACACATCGTGAACACATCATGCCATTGCAAACATCATTACCCACATCATCATCGTCGTCGTCATCATCAGCCACCACATCGTCGTCGTCATCATCAGCCACCACATCGTCGTCGTCATCATCATCGTTAGCGTTGACATCATGAGAATACATTTTTGTAGATGTAACGAGGAGAATAAAAGATAGTTTTGTACTGAGAAGTGATTAAAGCTGACGTGTTTTTGCCACGAATGTATGCAATGATGGTGTGTGTAACTGTCTGTCAGACTTTTGCAAAATGGCAAATAAACATTATTTATAACATATCAAAATTATCACAAAAAGTAATTATAATACGTTTTTTTGCAACAATTATTAATGTTAAATATTAATAATTTTAAATCTATAATAAATTTGGCTACTATTATAACTGCGTTGATAATAATAATTAGCGCTTTTTATGCTTGCGTTTTAAAACGATAAATTTCTTTTGATGTATTGATGAAAAATCTTACTCTTTCACTCTCTTTTTTTTTCTCTCTCTCTCTCTCTCTCTTTCTCTCTCTTCCTCTCTCTCTCACTCTCTCTCTCTCTTTTGTCTTTTTCTTACCTCCCCACTCTCTTTCCCTTTTTTCCCTTTTTCTCCCTCTTTATCTCATTCTTCTAATATTTATTAATTTTTAATAATATTAATGATGAAAAGAATGAAATAAAGAATACTATCACTGATGAAATTGTATACCAACCAGCTCTACAACTGATGACACCCTCAAACGTTATCAACAACAACAATAATAACAGCATGTCAACACTCACAAACATACGTAACGTGTAAACTAATACATACGTATGTACAGTTGCAATTACAAACATACATACGAAAAACATACAAACATATACAAACTCGTACCAACAGCAAACTAACCTAAACATACAAACGCTTATAACCACAAGCAAACATATATAACCATAGAGCCTTATACAAAACATACAACCACATACAAAATCATAAAAAAAAACAAACACACCTAAACGTACAAAAACATGCAATCACAAACAAACATACAAACACATACAAACAACAGGCCAAACACACTAAGACCTGCGAGCAGATTTGCAGCCCAGGAAATGCGAGCGACATAAAAATATATAAGTAGAGATAAAATGCAGAATTAATTTTAATGACGTCATGTAACCACGTTCTCCGCATAAAAACACACACACACTCACACACATACACATACACACACGCACACATGAACAAACACACGCACGCGCCCACACCACCTCACAACACTGCGGACTTAACATGTAATCTGAATACTTTCTTTGTTTGTGCATTTAAGCGCACGTGTGTTTGTTTGAATTTTTGTGAGTCTGTGCGCGCGTGTGTGTTGTATGTGTATGTATTGTTTGTGTATTTATACACAAGTTTATTGTTATCTAAGATGTTAACGTGTTTATTGAGCTAACACGTGTCTGGTTATTTTTATAGATATGTGAGTATTTGTGATGGAGGTGTGTTGAGAAAAATTGTATGCATTTAGTAATCTTGTGTTTGTGTGTGTGTGTTTGTATGTGAACAGAATTAAGTGTGTGTGTGTGTCGTGTGCGTGTGTGCGTGTGTGTGTGTGTGTGAAGAAGAGATCGCAAGGTAAGCGTGAGTGTGAGTTTGTTTTTGTGTGCGTGCGTAATTGCGTTCACGTGCGTGTTATATTTTGTTCTCCTTTCACGTGATCAGTCGACAGCAATTTACTTCAGATCAAAAGAGTTACACGGCGTCACACAACGACATTAACCATAATTACAACGACACAAATGTGACTGTGACGATGACAACGATGCTGTGATGATGAAGAAGATGATGAAGATGATGTGATGATGAGGAAGATGTGATGATGAAGAAGATGATGACGATGATGTGATGATGAGGAGATGATGACGATGATGTGATGATGAAGAAGATGATGACGATGATGTGATGATGAAGGAAATGATGACGATGATGTGATTATGAAGAAGATGATGACGAAGATGTGATGATGAAAATGATGGTGATGGTTATGATGATGATGTAAAGAAGAAGATGAAAAAGAAGAAAGAAAAAAAGATGAAAAAGAAGAAGAAAAAGAAGAGGAAGAAAATAAGAAGATGATGACGATGATGTGATGATGAAGATGATGGTGATGGTTATGATGATGATGTAAAGAAGTAAAAAAAGAAAAAAAAACGAAGAAGAAAAAAAAAGAAGAATAAGAAGAAGAAGGAGATGATGATGATGAAGTATATTCTCATAACAAAATTTATTGATCTACACACAATTCTTACTTAATGATTTGTGTTAATGAAACAGTCAGCACTCTCTTAAAACTCCTATTAAAATTTGTCATTAAACCTTTCTAAATGTGATCCTCATCGTCGTCGTCATCATCATTTTCATCATCGTCATCGTCATCGTTGACATCTTCATCTTCGAGTTTTTCACGGCCAATGTCACTTTAATTATAAACCTAATCCGCTTCACTACAATGTGAAAAAAGATAATCTTTTAAAAATAGAAAAACAACAACAATGGCAAAACAAAAATTAAAATAAAAACAAAAAAAACATAAGAAGCAAAAACGAAAAAAAACCATAACAAAATTTTTAATTGCAGAATGAAGAGAAAAAACAGACTAGCAACAAAACTCATCATCATCATACGTGGCTACAACAAAGAAGTAATTCAAAACTCCATGTATCATATTTTTTCCGTTAAAAATCTCACAATAAAGCGATTAAAAACATACTAATTGTCTCTTTGTATTGAATAAATAATAAGTAAAACAGCTACAAAAAAAAAGAAAAAAAATATTTTTTTTATATCACAAGGCACGCAAAACTCTATTCAAATGAACATTAAAGCATAAAGTCGAATTTTTACACCTCAATTCAAAGTAATATCAAACGCGCTAAAGAGATTTTATTTTACGTTGAAAATAGTTTTATTGTTAGCCGGCATATGTTTTGTATTTTTTGTATTGTCTAATATACACTCACACAACATGTGCTTATTGGCAGTGATACAGATAGGTTTTTTGTATCAAAATATGTGTATGCCTGTATGAATGTTTGTATGAATGTTTGTTTGCTTGCACTTGAAATGTATTGTAAGTGTATAGAGGTTTCTACAATGAAACATATGTGTTTGTATTTGTTATAGGCGATACAAATAGATTTTTTGCATCAAAATATGTGTATGTTCGTCATCATCATCATCATCATCATCATCATCATCATCATCATCATCATCATCATCAACATCATCCTCATTGTCTTCATCGTCATAGTTGTCATCTGCAGATAAAAAATGAAACACGTATGTGTGTTTCTGACTATGTACACTTATGCGTGTTTTGAAAAATATGAAATTATTTCATATTTTCACCCTAATCCATCATTATCCACACATCATTTGTATCATCTTTATCATCGTCAGTCCTGACATCCTAGTCTCCCTTTCGAAGACGTGGAGGAGTTG